AGTTAACACCCTGGCCTGAAGAACTGGCATCCCATATGGGTGCCAGTTCAAGACCCAGATGCTCCACTTCCAAACCAGCACTCTGCTATGGCTTGGAAAAGCAGTGGAGGATGGCCCAAGTCCTTGGGCCCCTGCACCCACGTGGGAGACCCGGAAGAAGCTCCTGGCTCCTGGCTTTGGATTGGCGCAGCTCTGGCCATTGTGGCCATTTGGAGAGTGAACCATCAGATGGAAGACCTGTCTTTCTCTCTGTCTCTCCTCTCTTTGTGTAACTCTGACTTTCAAATAAGTAAATAAATCTTTAAAAAAATAAAAAAAGGTGAAAACTTTCCCAACCAATAAAGAAACTAAGGCACATGAAGGAGAACTGACCTGCCCAAGGTCGCTCACTCAGGCACATTGGGCAGGGAAGAGGGGAGGGAGGGAAGAGATACCTAAATAGTGAAGATGATAAGCCATTTGGTAGATTCGGAATCTGCTAGATCCCCTAAAGCACTAAAGATCCCAGATTCACTTTTATGATTTTAAAAATCAGTTGTACTGAGCCGGCGCCGTGGCTCAATAGGCTAATCCTCCACCTTGCGGCGCCGGCATACCGGGTTCTAGTCCCGGTCGGGGCGCCGGATTCTGTCCCGGTTGCCCCTCTTCCAGGCCAGCTCTCTGCTCTGGCCAGGGAGTGCAGTGGAGGATGGCCCAGGTGCTTGGGCCCTGCACCCCATGGGAGACCAGGAAAAGCACCTGGATCCTGGCTCCTGCCATCGGATCAGCGCGGTGCGCCGGCTGCAGCGGCGGCCATTGGAGGGTGAACCAACGGCAAAGGAAGACCTTTCTCTCTGTCTCTCTCTCTCTCACTGTCCACTCTGCCTATCAAAAATAAAAAAAAAAAAAAAAAAAAAAAAAAAAAAAAATCAGTTGTACTGATGTTTAATTTATATAGTATAAGGGAGACATAGGCTCAATACATCTTGATGAGTCTTGAAAATTTCTACAGCTTTATAAACACTACCAAAATTGAGATATAGAATAGTTTATCACATTAAAATAGTCTCTTCTCTCATTCTACTCAGCGAATCTTACTTCCTCCCCTAAGCAACCAGTGGTTTGCTTTCTATTCCTGTGGCTTAGATATGAGGGTGCTTCAAAAAGTTCATGGAGGGGCTGGTGCCGTGGCACAGCAGGGTAAGCCACTGTCTGCAGTACCAGCATCGTATATGGGCACCAGTTCAGACCCCAGCTGCTCTACTTCCTATCTAGCTCTCTGCTAATATGCCTGAGAAAGTAGCAGAAGATGGCCCAAGTCCTTGGGCCCCTGCACCCACATAGGAGACCTGGAATATGCTCCTGGCTCCTGGCTTCAGATCGCCACAGCTCTGGCTGTTGTGACTGACTCCTGGTTTTGGATTGGCGCAGCTCTGGCTGTTGTGACCATATGGGGAGTGAACCAGCGGATGGAAGACCTGTCTCTCTCTGCCTCTCATCTCTCTGTGTAACTCTGACTTTCAAATAAATAAATAAGTAAATAAATCTTAAAAAAAAAAAAAGCTCACGGAAAGATGGAATTAAAAGATAAATTATTTTGGTGCATTTTTTGCCATTATTTTTTGAATTACCATTTTTTTCCTAGAACTTCATATAAACAGAATACAGCTCTATTCTCTTATGATTGGATTGGCATAATTTTATTGAGATTTACCAATGTTGTTATATGCATTAATAATTTCTTTTATTACCAAGTGGTATTCCACTGTAAGGTAATACCACTGGATTCTTTATAATTTGGGGTTACATATAAAGATTATATGAACATTTTTGTACAGTTCTCTGTTTCTATGGCATAAACACCTAGAACTGAAGTGCTGTTTGAAGGTATCATTACCTTAAAAGGAACTGTCAAATTGATTTATAATACTATCACATTACAGCTTTAATTTGGATTTCCTTGCTTACTAAAGCTTTGAACATCTTTTCTATATAGTTTCTTTTGTGAAACATCTGCATTTATGTTTTCTGTTTTCCCACACTTTAACAAAGTTGTTTAACATTCCTTACAAATTGAAGATGCAAACCCTTTGTAAGATGCACCCAGATTTTCTTCAAATCTATTTTTAATTTTCATAAGCTCTCATAAAAGTAGAGGCTTTAAATCTTAATCCCAATTTATTTTTTTGCTTTAATGTTTCAAACTCTGTGTTCTATCTTAAAGAGCTCTTCATATCTCAGAGTATAATTTGTGTCTTTAGTTTTCAGTTTTAGCTATTTTGTTCATATGGGGTTGGTATTGTGGCATAGCAGGTTGAGCCACTACATTCGAGGTTGGCACCCCATATGGGTGTGGTTTGTGTTCCAGCTGTTTCACTTCTAATCCAGTCCCCTGATAATGCCTGTGAAAAGCAGTGGAAGATGGCAGAAGTGCATGGGCCCCTGCCACCCAAGTGGGAGACGCAGATGAAGATCCTGGCTTCTGGTTTTGGTCTGGTCCAGCCCTGGCTGCTGCAGCCATCTGGGAAGTGAGCCAGCAGATGGAAGATCTGTCTCCACCCCTTCCCCGCTGTAACTCTGATTTTCAAATAAATAAATAGGGCTGTCACTGTGGTGTAGTGGGTTAAGCCTCTGCCTGCAGCACTGGCATCTGCTATGGGCACTGGTTGAAGTCTCAGCTGCTCCACTTCTGATCCAGCTCTTTGCTATGGCCTGGGAAAGCAGTGGAAGATGGCCCAAGTGGTTGGGCCCCTGCACCCACATGGGAGACCCAAAGAAGCTCCTGGCTTCTGACTTCAGATTAGCTCAGCTCCAATCATTACAGCCATTAGGGGAGTGAACCAGAGGATGGAAGACTTTTCTCTCTGTCTCTCCCTCTGTCTGAAACTGTCCCTCAAATAAATAAAATACATCTTTTAAAAAAAGAATAAATCTTAAGGCCGGCGCCGCGGCTCACTAGGCTAATCCTCCGCCTAGCGGCGCCGGCACACCGGGTTCTAGTCCCGGTCGGGGCGCCGGATTCTGTCCCGGTTGCCCCTCTTCCAGGCCAGCCCTCTGCTGTGGCCAGGGAGTGCAGTGGAGGATGGCCCAGGTGCTTGGGCCCTGCACCCCATGGGAGACCAGGAAAAGCACCTGGCTCCTGGCTCCTGCCATCGGATCAGTGCGGTGCGCCGGCCGCAGCGCGCCGGCCGCGGCGGCCATTGGAGGGTGAACCAACGGCAAAGGAAGACCTTTCTCTCTGTCTCTCTCTCACTGTCCACTCTGCCTGTCAAAAAAAAAAAAAAAATAAAAAAAATAAATCTTAAAAAATGAATATTCAGTAATTTTAGTGCCATATTAAAAATAATAATCTTTTCTCCATCAAATTACCCTGGAACATTTGTTAAAAATCAACCGACAACTTTCAGTTACAGCTCAGAGATAAGACAGCAATAAAAAGCATTGCCCCATCCCTAAAATAAGAAACCAGCTGGGTAGACTTCCACAGTTTTTCTTGAATACATGATATGTTAGTATTCACAGGGCAAAACAATAACCCAAAATCTGAGGAGCTTGGTGGCTGCAAGCCACAAGGACCAAAGCAGTTACCTAAGTGAGACAGAGAATGCCAAATGCTGAAGAAAATGACTAACAAGAAAGGGAACATACAAGGTCAGAGTTGGGAACTATAATGGAATTAAAACGCTAGGAATAAAAATGATAGTAGCGTAAATGAATAATGCCTTCCAAGTGGTCATTAGTATACTCAATATTTCCTCAACATTTCTGAGGAAAGAATCAGTGATGTTGAAGACATCATATATGTCTGTTTTACATGTACTGATGACCTTAAGATAACACACAAGTCTACAGAAACACTGGCTTCTTTGAAAAGGAGCAGTTCAATGAAAAATACCTTTCCTATATACACATGTCAGAAGGTACCTGGAGAAAGGGAATGTGGTATGGCACTCTGAACTTTGATATTTCCTGTAAAAGGTTTATTTGTTATTAGTATACATGTGGCAAAATGCAGCTGATGTCAGAATAGTATCATCTATTACAGTGATATTGAGGTCAAATACACGTGTAGAATGTCTGGTAAGTGGCATGCAAATATCCATACGACAGGCAATTTAGAAAACATTCACATACATCCAATGTTGTTGTCTAGTTTATGTAATTTATTCAAGTATTTTATTCTAGTGACTATGAATCAAATATTTCATTAAATGTTTTCATATTAAATATGAAATGACATTTTATATAAAATATCTAAAGGTGATTACTTACCTTTTTCAAATTGGTATTTTCCCTTTATCTTTGAGAGATAAAGTACGATGATCTGTTGAAACGTTCACACATTCAAAACTCAGCCATCAGATATTTAATGAGTTTTTTATAAGGGACTTCCTCCTTGCATTAAAATACTGAATTTCTTCTGGTAATATTTACCTGACTGATAAGAGCTGTGGATGAAAGCTATGGCCTTTCAGGGTGTTATCAAAGGTTTTGGTGTGACTTTTGTGATACAGACTGGGTTTAGATAGCCACAGAATTCATATTCATAGGTTTTACTAAGTAAAGCTTGGTGACTTTATGTATCAAGAATACCCAAACCTGCTGAAGTTCAGCAGAGAACAAGTTTATTTCCTTGCCACAAAAAATCCAACTGTGTATATGGAAATAGAAAATTCCATTCCAGACTCATTATTTGATCCTGTTTCTTTATCATATTTTCTTCCATCTTCATTGGAAGTAATTCCTGGAAGTAATCTCAAATACTTGAGGGACAGGTGAAAAGACTGAAAATTTGAAGGATATATGACAATTATCTGAAATTAATCTCCATATTTCACTAGAGGGTAACAATATGACCCCATTTGGATGACAGTGTGGTTAAGAGATTTAGACTAGATGTTGCATGGGGTAGAAAAGGAAATGGTGATTGGTAAATATTTTTATAGTCATTTTATGACAAATGGGGACTACCACTTGCAAGCCAAGCTATGAGTTAACTTATGGTAGGATTGTCTACCTCCTTTATCTTTTTTTTTTTTTTTTTTTGGACAGGCAGAGTTAGACAGTGAGAGAGAGAGAGACAAAAGTCTTCCTTCCATTGGTTCACCCCCGAAATGGCCGCTACGGCCGGCACGCTGTCTGAAGCCAGGAGCCAGGCGCTTCCTCCTGGTCTCCCATGTGGGTACAGGGGCCCAAGCACTTGGGCCATTCTCCACTGCCTTCCTGGGCCACAGCAGAGAGCTGGACTGGAAGAGGAGCAACCGGGACTAGAACCCTGGGGTGCCGGTGCTGCAGGCGGAGGATTGGCCTAGTGAGCTGCGGTGCCGGCCAACCTTCATTTATTTTCTGTCCTGATATACAATGAAGTCTCTGCCCTCTATGAATTTTATGCTACATAGAGAAAGCTGCTCTGTGGCTAAAGTTGTAACACATTTTATGTTTTCTTGTGCCATTTCCCTGATAATGTTTTGATTCCTTACATAAAAGTTTCACATTTTTATTACTTTCTCAGAGCCTTCCCAAAAGCATCTCCTGAGGATTCAATTCAGAATATTTCCTTTTTTAAAAATTTACTTGACAGATAGAGTTAGACAGTGAGAGAGAGAGAGAGACATAGAAAGGTCTTCCTTCCATTGGTTCACCCCTTAAATAGTCGCTACAGCCGGAGCTATGCTGATCTGAAGGCAGGAGCCAGGTGCTTCTCCTGGTCTCCCATGGGGTGCAGGGCCCAAGCACTTGGGCCATCCTCCACTGCCCTCCTGGGCCACAGCAGAGAGCTGCACTGGAAGAGGGGCAGCCGGGACTAGAAACCGGCGCCCATATGGGATGATGGCACCACAGGCGGAGGATTAACCAAGTGAGCCATGGCGCTGGCCTCCAGAATATTTCCTACATTCCTTACTTTCTGGTGTTTCCTGGTTGAATTCTCTGATATCCAATGAGACTTGCACTCTGGCTGAAACACTGGCAATAGAAGATGTATTTCAAGAATTTCTTTTTTTGTTTAAGTTCTCTGATGTTTGATATTTGCAGAGGGATTTTATTGTTTAATATATTCTTAGGAGTTCTCCTGTGTGCTCTTTTACATATCGAAAGGCTTGATATCCATTGCTAGAGCTTCCCCATACTCTTTACATTCATACAGTTAATTCTCTGTGTGGGACTTCTGATGTTCTCTAAGGCTTGATTTCTGGCTGAAAGTTTTTACACATTTATCACATTTATAAGGTTTCTCCCCTGTGTGAGTTCTCTGATGGACTCTGAGATTTGATTTCTGACTAAAAGCTTCCCCACACTGATTACAATGGTAAGGTTTCTCCCCTGTGTGAGTTCTCTGATGTTTTCTTAGGACTGACTTCTCACTGAAAGCTTTCCCACAGTCACTACATTCGTAGGGTTTTTCCCCTGTGTGAGTTCTCTGATGTCCTCTGAGGTTTGATTTCTGTCTGAAAGTTTTTCCACACTCATCACACTTATAGGGTTTCTCCCCAGTATGAGTTCTGTGATGCACTCTGAGGTTTGATTTCTGACTGAAAGCTTCCCCACAATGATTACATTTATAGGGTTTTTCCCCAGTGTGAATTCTATGATGTCCTCTGAGTTGTGATTTCTGACCAAAAGCTTTTCCACACTGGCTACACTTATAGGGCTTCTCCCCTGTATGTGTTCTATGGTGTTTTCTTAGGCCTGACTTCAGTTTGAAAGCTTTCCCACACTCATCACATTTATATGGTCTTTCCCCTGTGTGAGTCCTTCGATGATTCCTTAGGCCTGACATGTGGCTGAAAGACTTCCCACAGTCGTTACATTCAAAGGGTTTCTCCCCTGTGTGAGTTCTCTGATGTACTATAAGTATTGACTTATAGTTGAAGGACTTCCCACAGTCATTACATTCAAAGGGTTTCTCCCCTGTGTGAGTTCTCTGATGTATCCGTAGGCCCGACTTGGCACTGAAAGCTTTCTCACATCCTTCACATTTATACGGCTTCTCCCCTGTGTGGGTTCTCTGATGCTTCCTTAGGCGCGACTTCTCACTGAAAGCTTTCCCACATTCATGACATTCGTAAGGTTTCTCTCCTGGGGGACTTTTCTGAGTATGAATTACGCAGGAATTCAAAGAGCAGCAGTTTCCATATTCATTACATTCATTGGGTTTTGCTCTTACGTTAGTTCTCTGATGTACACTGAAAGTGGGCTGATAGGTGGATGTCTCTGTACGTGTGCTATCATCAGAGGATTGATCTGATGTGTGAGTTCCCTGACAGAGCAGGAGTGCAGAATTATGGTTAAGCTTTTTCCCATATGCACCGTGTTTCACCTCTGTATGAATTCTCTCATGATCTCCAATGTGTGACTTTTGGCTGGTAGATTTCCCTTTTGTGTCAGTTTTTTGAGTGGTCCTATTGAAACTATTTCCATTTTCATTAAATTCACAGTGACTCTTCTCTGGATGAATACTCTGAGAGACAATAAAGGTTGATTTAGCACATTGGTTTTCCCCAGGTTTATTCAATTTATAAGATTTCACTTTTCGGTGGGCACTTTGAGATGTAATGAGGACAGTTTTTCCAAAGAAATCTTTTCCGCTTTCATTATATTTAAAAGCTTGTCCCAAGTTCTGAATTTTCTGATGCTGGATAACTTGTTCTTTAAGACTAAGGGCTTTTATATTTTTATTATAAACAAAACCTTTCCCGCAAGTATTAGTTCTGCAGTTCTTAATATTGAGAAGCCATTTCTCACATAAGTTAAGCTCATGAGCCTCTTCTCTTGAGCAGAGGCTTTGTGGGGACAGTGGGCTGGCACCCAGGTAAGTAGCCCCTGCAGCACCACATTTACAGGGAGTCATCCTTGCAGTAAAATGGTTCATGTCCAGATTACATGAAATTTCTTGACTTGTAGTCAAGGATTTGTTGGTGAATAAAAGTGGCCACAAATATTTGTCTTGGTTTTCTGGGCTCTTCTCTGACAATTCATCAGGTTGAAAGTCTTCTAAAAATGAGAAAATTAAAAGTACTATGTAATGCTTAACAGTTCTCATGAATGGACACAGGTGAGGGGGCTTGCCAAAAAGTTCATGGAAAAATGTGCATTCTAAAAAAAACCAGCATGGACTTCAAATTTATTTTTTAAACTTTGATAAAATCCATTTTATCTATTTTAAGTTTTGTTCAAGGTCATGAAGATTTATCTGCCTGTTTTAGTCTAAGAGTTTTATAGTTTTAACTTTTTTTAAAAATTAATTATTTATTTGAGAAGGAGAGACAAAAAGAGAAGTCTTCCATCTGCTGGCTCACTCACCAAATGGCCACAATGGCCAGGGCTGGGTCAGGCCAAAGCCAGGAGCTTCTTCTGGATCTTCCACATGTGTGCAGAAGCCCAAGTACTTGGGCCATCTTCCGCATATTAGCAGGAAACTGAATCAGAAGTTGAGTAGTCAGGACTCGAACCAGCACCCGTACGGGATGCTGGTGTCACAGGCAGCAGCTTAACCTGTTATGCCACAATGCCAATCCCTCAAAACAGCTTTGCACCAAATAAATGTATCTTTTAATTCTGCTTTCCATGAACTTTTTGAAGCTCCCTCAAATTATTATGCCCTACTATGTATTTGATTTCTTAATTTCTGTTTTAGTTTCCCAGTAATAAAGTATTTCCAAGTGGCATTTTGGTACATGCTAGATGGAAGGCACATGCTAGATGAGCAGCCCACAAGAGAACCCTGGTATCTAATCTCTCACAGCCTCTCTGGGTGGGCAACAAGCATATATGTCACTATTCACTGCTGGGGAAACCAAGTGTCTCCCTTTGAACTCTTAGAAGCTTGTACCTGATTTCCCTGGCCTTCACCCCATTTTTTGGCTTGGTTGATTTTGCTCTGTATCCTTTCTGTTTGATGTGAGCCATTAATATCCCGAAGTCTTGTGAGTCCTCCTAGTGAACGAGTGAATTTTCTGACAGTATTCAGTAACTTACCTGGGGAGCTCCTGCTTAGAAATTCTTTATCTAACAACCATGGATCTTCTCCTTGTTCCAATATGAAGATAAGTCCTGGTTTTGTAAAGCAATACCCTGTAAATTGGAAGCAATTTAGGACTTGAGTTATCTGCATAGGTTTTGCTGTTTCTGAATGTGAAAGAAGGTACAGTTTCAGAAGCAAAACACTGAGGGTGTTTGTTCACTGTGTCTTTTTTGGGGGAAGTGACAACAAAAACCATTTTCTTATGCCTATAGTAATCTCCTTGGATTGCAAGCCTAAATAACATTACATTCTAAAACATATGTCTTGGGTTTCAAACAAGAGATTTCATGAGGACTTCCATAAGTGGTCATAATAAAAACTGATTTACTCCTTAAAAAACTCCAAAAAAATATATGAAATGTTATTTAGACTTTAGACAACAGGTAGTGCAGACAGAGATCCTTGAGAATGGAGAAACAAAGGAGGTAAGCTCATAACAAATAAGGTTACTGCTGAGAGATTTTCCAACCCATAGAAAAATAACATCATCATCAATAACAACAAGAAAAAAACCCCAAAATCCTCAAAACAAAACATCAAAACAGCAGGCTGACAGATTCAGTGAGTTGAAACAATGGAATTATATGTGTAGAGAAGTTGGACACTAGAATTTGTGAGATAAAATATCAGAGAAGGAAGAGCTGTACTTATAAAGCGTTCTGGAGATCTGCAGCAGGGTTTCCTGTGTGCGAATTGTGCACACACATAAGAAAACCACTTGGGCCTGGCGTAGGCGGAGCAGGTAAGCTACTGCTTGAAACACTAGCATCCCATATGGTTTGAGACCTGGTTGCTCCACTTCCCCTCAAGTTCCTTGCTGATGCGTCTGAGAAAGCAGTAGAAGATGGCCCAAGTACTTGGAGCCCTGCACTCATGTGGGAGGCCCAGAAGAAGCTCCTGGCTCCTGGCTTCCACCTGATCCAACCCTGGCCATTGCAGCACTTAGAGTCAACCACCGGATGGAAGATCTCTCTCTCTCTCTCTCTTTCTGTATCTCTGCCTATCAAATCAATCAATCAATCAATAATTTTTTTCTTTTTCTAAGATTTGTTTGTTTATTTGAAAGTCAGAGTTACACAGAGAGAGGAGAAGCAGAGAGAGAGAGAGGTCTTCCAACCGATGATTCACTCCCCGATTGGCTGCAATGACTGAAGCTCTGCCGATCTGAAGCCAGGAGCTTCTTCCGGGTCTCCCACACGGGTTCAGGGGCCCAAGGCCTTGGGCCATCTTCTGCTGCTATCCCAGGCCACAGCAGAGAGCTGGATCAGAAGAGGAGCAGCTGGGACTAGAACCAGCGCCCATGTGGGATGCCGGTGCTTCAGGTCAGGGTGCTAACCCACTGTGCCACAGTGCCGGCCCCAGTAAATCAATCTTAAAAAAAGAAAAGAAAACCACTCACAGCTGGAGGGAAAAACCAGTGAAAAAGAGTAGGCAAGGAAGCCACCAAAGCAGGTACAAAAGTAGGAAGCTTATGCCATCACATTCACAGCAGAAAACCTCCTGATTCATGACCAATTAGCCAGAACAATCAGATGTTTATTGCCTTATTAGACTGGAGGCCAAATTCGTTCTACACTAAAGTGAGCTCTGAATCCAACATAACAAATCTTAGAGTAAACCCTGAAAAGACTAATCTAATTCTAAATAATTTAACTACATTCCAGAAAGGACCCAAAATATTTAAAATGTGATGCTGGCATCCCATATAGGTTTTGATTCAAGTCCTGGATGCTCCACTTCTGATTCAGCTCCCTGTTAATGCACCTGGGGGAGCAGCGGAAGATGGCCCAAGTGCTTGGGCCATTATACCCATGTGGGAGACCTGGAAGCAACTCTTGGCTCCTGGCTTCAGATCGGCCCAGCTCCGGCTGTTGTGGCCATTTGGGGAGTGAACCAGGAGATGGGAGATCGCTCTCTCTCTGCCTCTCTGTAACTCTGCCTTTCAAATCAATCTTAAAAAAATAAGCTTAAAAACATTTTTTATAAAAAAAATTAATTACTAGCAACAGAGTAAGAAATGACATATGACAAAACCAACAGTCAAGACAATACTGTTTGAGATAGAGAGACCTACTACATAATAAGAAAGGGAATAATTCATCCAAAGGATATGGCATTTTAAAATGTCTCTCCTTCCTGCAACCCTATTTCAAAATAGCAAATCCTGATGAAACTGAAATAACCGAAGTCACACGTATAGCTCATTTCTCAATAACTGATCGAACAAACACATAAAAATATATGGAAGATTTGAACAACATTATAACAAAAAATTCAAATTCCCATCTGTAGAACACTGCACTTTCAGCATTGGGTAGACCATAGAGCCAGAAAATCAAAGTTAAACTGCACTTTAGGTCAAACAGATCTAACAGATAATTATAAAACATTCTAGCCAACAGCTGAAGAATACACATTCTTCAACAGCACATTGAACATTCTCCTGATCATAAATTGGACTACAAAATAAGTCCCAACAAATTTTTAAAAATCAAAATCATATCAAGTAAATTTCTGATCACAATGGAATGAAACTAGAAATCAGCAACAGGTAGAATGGTGGAAACTCTGCTAATACAAAGAAATTAAGCAACATGTTACTGAAGGAATTAATGAAGAAATAAAATGGTTTCTCAAGATAATCTAAAATGAGAACACAACACATAAAAATCTCAGGGACACAGCAAAAACTGTACTAAGGGGTAAAGTTTGTAGTAATAAACACATGCCTCAAAAATGTGAAGGCTCTTGGGGCTGACGTTGTGGAGCATGCTATGCCATTGCCTGTGACACCAGCATCCCATGTGAATGCTGGTTTGAGTCCCGGCTGCTCCATTTCCAATCTAGCTCCCTGCTAATGGCCTGGGAAAAGCAGCAGGGCTCAGGTTCCTGGACCCCTGCCACCTAAGTGGGAGATCTACAAGAAGCTACTGGCTTTGGCCTAGCTCAGTGCTAGCCATTGTGCCCATCTGGTGAGTGAACCAGTAGACTGAAGATCTCTTTCAAACAAACAAATAAATTTTTTTTTTTAAAGAAAACTATAGGCTAATGTCCCTAGTGAACACAGATGTGCAAATTCTGAAAGAAATATTAGCAAACCAAATTCAATGGCACATTTAAAAGATCATTCATGATGATCAAGCAGGATTCATCTCAGGGATGCAAGGATGGTTCAACATATGCAAATCAATAAATGTGATCAAACACATTAACAGAATCAAGGACAACAACCACATAATCATTTGACATTCAAAATGATAAAAATCCCTCAACAAATTAGGTATAGAAGGGATGTACCTCAACACAATCAAGGCTATGTATGACAAGATGACTGCCAGCATGCTGACTGGAGAGAGGCAGAAAGCTCTTCTCTGAAATCTGGAAGACACAGATGCCCACTTTCACCTCTTCCTCTTGACATAGTACTGCAAGTCTTAGTGAGAACAGTTAGGCAAGGGAAAGATAACATCCGAATTGGAAAGGAAAAATAAAATTGTCATGTCACAGACAAGATGATCTAATTTATAGAAAACCCGAAGATCCCACCAAAAGAATCTAAAAAAAATTTAAAGAAATCATAAATTTCAGGATACAAAATCAGCATAAAAAAATCAGGGTATTTCTATAGGCCATGGTGAACTATCTAAAAAAGATCAAGAAAGGAATACCTTTTACAATAGCTTCAAAACAATGAAATTCCTAGGAATAATTTAAACAAGGAGGTCAAACTATGCTAAAAACTATAAAACACTGATGAAAGAAACTGGAGAGGACACAAATACCTGGGAAGACATCCCATATTCATAGCCTGGAAGAATTAATATTATTAAAATGTCCAAATTACCCACAGCAATCTGCAGATTCAGTGAAATTCCTATCATTAAGCCGATTACTTTTTTCACAGTTGTAGGGAAAAAAATCCGTAAATATGTACAGAATCAGAGGAGACCCTGAATAGCTAAAGTAATCCTGGGGGTTGGGGTGGGTGGGGAGATGGAAGCATCACAATACCTGATCTCAAAATACACTGTAATGCAATAGTATAGAAAACAGCATGCTACCGACATAAAAACAGACACCTAGATCAATGGCAAGGAAGGCCCAGAAATAAATCCACACATCTATAGCCAACTGATTTTTCACAAAGGTGACAAGAACACTTGGGGAAGGACAGTCTTTTTCAATACATAACTCTGGGAAAATCGGATGTCCACATCTCTCCCTATACACAAGAACCAACTCAAACCAGACTAAAGACTTAAATATGATGCTGAACTATAAAACTAAAAGAAGCAAACAGGTGAAATGCTTCATGTGCTTCATGGCTTTGCACTGGGTAAGGATTTTTTTTTATAAGATCTCAAAAGAAAGACAAACTGGATTATGTCAACCTGAAAAGCTTCTGACTAGCAAAGGAAACAATCAAGAGAATGAAGAGACAACATACTGAAATGAGAAAAATATTTGCAACCCATACATCTGATAAGGGGTTAATGTCCAGGATATATATAAAAGAATTCAAACATCTCATCAGCAAAAACAAAATAAAAAACAAAAAAACTGATTTAAAAAATGGGCAAATGACTTGAATAAAGATTTCTCAAAACAAGACATAAAAGTGAATAATAGGTACTAAACAGTGCTCATTTTCATTACCCACTAGTGAAATGCAAATAAAAAAATGAGATATCACCACATTTCAGTTAGAATGACTTCTATCAAAAATACAGAAAACACCAAGTGTTGGGGAAGATGTGTAGAAAAGGGAACAATTATTCACTACCGCAGAGAATATAAATTAGTGCAGTTATTATGGAGAGCAGTATAGAGGTTCCTCAAAAAATTAAAGATAGGGGCCAGTGCCTTGGCAGAGCAGGTAAAACTGCCTCCTGCAGTGCCGGCATCCCATGTGGGCGATGGTTCAAGTCCCAGCTGTTCCACTTCCAATCCAGCTTTCTGCTGTGGCCTGGGAAAGCAGCAGAAGATGGCCCAAGTCCTTGGTCCCTACACCTGAGTGGGGACCCAGAAGAAGCTTCTGGCTCCTGGCTTCGGATAGGCCCAGCTCCGGCCATTGTGGACATTTGGGGAGTGAATCAGCAGATGGAAGACCTCTCTCTCTGCCTCTGCCTCTCTGTAACTCTGCTTTTAAATAAATAAACACATCTTTAAAAAATCAAAGATAGAACTATCATAAGATTCAGTTATCCTACTGAGTATTGCCCAAAGGAAATGAAGCTAGTATCTTGAAGAGCTATCTAAATACCCTTGTTTATTGCAGCATTATTCACAACAACTAATATAGGAAATCAGCCTAAGTGTTCATCAACAGATGAATGAATAAGGAAAATGTGGTATATATACACAATGGGTCATTACTGAGCCATAAAAGCATATATATATATATATCACTTATATATGTGATAAAAGATATTTATATATATATAAACATTATATATATAAAAAATATATATCACTTGCAACAGTGTGGATGGACTTGGAGTAGCTTATCTTAAGTGAAATAAGCTAGGTACAGAAATACAAATACTACAGGATCTCATTTACAGGTGGAATCTAAAGACATCTGTCTCATAGAAGTAGAGAGTAGAGATTTAAAGTTACAAGGTTGGTGAGGTTGAAGTAGGGATGGGGTGAGGCTGGTCAACAAATACAAAGTCACAGTTAGATAAGAGGAGTAAGGTCTGGAGTTCTATACAGCAGGGTGAATATGTCAATAATAATGTACTATATGCCTCAAAATACCTAGAAGAAAGAATTTTTGAATGTTTTACCACAAAGAAATGATAAATGAGGCGACAGATATGCTTATTACTTGATCAATACACAATGTATACATGTATTGAAGTATTACACTATACTCCATAAACTTGTATAATTATGTCAATCTATAACTTTAACATTTATTTATTTATTTATATTTGAAAGAGAGACAGAGACAGACACAGACAGAGGGAGACTTCCCATTTGCTGGTTCATGCCTCAGAACACTTGCAACAGCCAGGGGCTAGGACAGGCCGAGGTCAGGAGCCTGAAACTCAATCTAGGGCTCTCAAGTAGGTCACAGAGGTTCAAACACTTGAGCCATCACCTGCTGCCTCCCAGGCTTCCCATTAAGAGGAAGTGGAATTGGAAGTAGAGCTTGGACGTGAACCCAGGCACTCGAATATGGGAATCCTACGTGGCATCCTAACTGCTGCACCAGATGCCCACTCCTAAAATGTTTTCAAACAAAATATTTGTAAAATTGTTGTCTCTATGCCAGATGGATAGAGTTTGCAAAATATAAGACAGGTATGAATTTTAATTCAATAATAACAGAAAAAAAACTAAACAAAAATGGCTAAAGGTTTGATTAGACATTTTACTAAAGAGTGATAAATGGCTAAAACACACATCAGGGGTTAGCATTTGGCACAGTAGCTAAGATGCTACTTCAGAGACCCTCATCTGTTTGGCAGAGCTGAGTTGGAGTCCTGGCTCCACCTCCAATTCCAGCTTCCTGCTGTTGTGTCCCCTGGGATGCAGCAGTGAAGGCTCAAGCAGCTGGATCCCTGCCACCCAGATGGGGACTTAGACTGAGTTCTTGGTTCCTGCATTGGGGTGGATCCAGTTGTGGACATTTGGGGAGTGAACCAGCGGATGGGAGACTCCTAACTCTCTGCCTTTCACGTAAATAAAATAACTAAAAAATTTTTAAAAATACACCAGAAAAGGGGCCAATGCTGTGGTACAGTAGGTTAATTCTCCAACTGCAGCACCAGCATCCCATATGGGCACCAGTTCTAGCCCTGGCTGCTTCTCTTCCGATCCAGCTCTCTGCTATGGCCTGGGAAAGCAGTAGAAGATGGCCCAAGTGCTTGGGGCCCTGCACCCACCTGGGAGACCTGGAAGAAGGTCCTGGCTCCAGATCAGCTCAGCTCTGGCCGTTGCAGCCATTTGGGGAGTCAACCAGTGGATGGAAGACCTTTCTCTCTATCTCTTCCTCTCACTGTCTGTAACTCTACTTTTCAAATAAATAAATAAAATCTATTAAAAAAAATACATGGGAAGGAATTCAACATTGCTAGTAAACTAGATTAAAAGCCGACAAGAAGGGCCAGCATTGTGGCACAGTGGGTTAAGCTGCTGTTTGTAACACTGGCATTTCATATGGATGTTGGTTCAGGTCCTGGCTGCTCTGCTTCTGATCCAGCTTCCTGCTATGTGTCTGGAAAAGCAGTGGATGCTGGCCCACTCATGTGGGAGACCTGGATAGAATTCCTGGCTCCTGGCTCTGACCCAACCCAGCCTTGGCTGTTGCAGTTATTTAGGGGTGATCAGTAGTTAGAAAATGTCCCTCTCTGTCTCTCATTCCCTGTCACTCTGCCTTTCAAATAAATCAATCTTTTTTTTTTTTTTTTTGACAGGCAGAGTGGACAGTGAGAGAAAGAGACAGAGAGAAAGGTCTTCCTTTGCCGTTGGTTCACCCTCCAATGGCCGCCGCGGCCGGCGTGCTGCGGCCGGCGCACCGCGCTGATCCGATGGCAGGAGCCAGGTGCTTCTCCTGGTCTTCCATGGGGTGCAGGGCCCAAGCACTTGGGCCATCCTCCACTGCACTCCCTGGCCACAGCAGAGAGCTGGCCTGGAAGAGGGGCAACCGGGACAGAATCCGGCGCCCCGATCGGGACTAGAACCTGGTGTGCCGGCGCCGCTAGGCGGAGGATTAGCCTAGTGAGCCGCGGCACCGGCCCAATAAATAAATCTTTAAAAAAAAAAAAACAACCCAAGAATATATAACCAGATACTAAGCAGAATGGTTAAAATAAGACTTACCAAATACTGACAACAAGAACACAGATATTACTTATGAGCATAAACAACAGTTTTGCCAGCTTGAAAACATCTGGCAGTTTCTTTATAAAGTTACATATAAATATACTAAAAGATCTAGCAAGTCCACTCCTAGGTATTTATGCAAAAGAAATGAAAATATGTTGACACAAAGATTTGTAAGTGAACGTTCATAGCATCTTTATTTATAATAGCCACAAACTAGAAAGAACCTATAGATCCATTAGGTGATAAAGAATAACAAATAATGGTATATGCAAACAAAGAAGCAGTATTCAGCATAAAAAGACTGGACTACTGATATAAACAAACACATACATGTATCTCAGCAGCACTTTCTAAGTAAAAGCAGCCAAAAGAGTATATGGTTTATGATCCCATTTGTATGAAATTTGAGAAGAGGCACGATTACTGTGATAGGAAGCAAATCAATGGTGGGGTGAGAGGGTAAAGGGTGGCGGGAGCAGGGACCTCACTGCAAGGGGCTGCCAGGAATCTTTTTGGGGTGACAGAAATATTCCAAATCTTGATTTTGTTGGTGGTAATCAACTGAATACAAGGTTTTTCAAAACCCACTGACTAGTAGGCTGAAAGGCGCTGAGTTCAATTTTCTGTTGAACCTCTTCAACTGAAGTGATTGACATTTAAAAAAGGAAAAAAAAAATGAACTTTGGTACAGAGGGAATCGCATGGTAAGGTTTGCTCACCCAGTGAGACGAGGTGGCTGTAGTTCTCCAGCATCACGTCTCTGTACAAGGTCCTCTGAGCAGGGCTCACGTGCTGCCACTCCTCCAGGGTGAACTCCACACTCACGTCCTTGAATGACACTGATGCCTGGAACAGCACATTTCTCATCAGCCTGACAGCTTCTACTCAGCAGCAGAAAACTATTTTTGGAAACAAACTCTTATTATGTTCACAGTGGAGAGTCCGAAACAAAATGCTTTAAAGGTTGCCTCTCATAGCCCTTGCTCTTATACTTTGGGAATGCATAATTAGCACAAATAGCATTCTTATGCTTTGACTTATTTGTATTTTTTTTTTTTTTTTGACAGGCAGAGTGGACAGTGAGAGAGAGAGACAGAGAGAGAAAGGTCTTCCTTTGCCGTTGGTTCACCCTCCAATGGCCGCCGCTGCAGCCGGCGCACCGCGCTGATCCGATGGCAGAAGCCAGGATCCAGGTGCTTTTCCTGGTCTCCCTTGCGGGTGCAGGGCCCAAGCACCTGGGCCATCCTCCACTGCACTCCCTGGCCATAGCAGAGAGCTGGCCTGGAAGAGGGGCAACCGGGACAGAATCCGGCGCCCCGACCGGGACTAGAACCCGGTGTGCCGGCGCCGCAAGGTGGAGGATTAGCCTATTGAGCCACGGCGCCGGCTCTTATTTGTATTTTTTTAAAGATTTATTTATTTGAAAGGCAGACTGATGGAGAGAGGGAGAGAGAGAGAGATCTTCCATCCACGGTTCAGTCCCTAAGTGGCCTCAATGGCTGGTGCCAGGGCAGGCCAAAGCCAGGAGCCTGGAATTCTACTGAGGTTTCCCACATGAGTGACAGGGGCCCAAGCCCTTGGGCCATTTTCCACTGCTTTCCCGGATACATCAGTAGGAGCTGGATGGGAAGTGGAACAGCTGGGACTCGAACCCACACTCATATTGGATGCTGGTATTGCAGGCAGCGGCTTAGCCCGCATGCCACAATTCTGGCCCCTGTATTTGTTTTTAGATTACAACCATACATTGTCACTTAATGTGCCTCACTGTTAGGTAAAATTATTTTAAATAGATTTTCCATACACCACTGAAATACCCTGAGCACTCTGTACAGCACACACTCCAACCTAGAGATCTGTGTTGGGGCAATGGGAACCATGTCACCCAGTCAGACTTACACAGGAGGAAGACTCTAGAACATGGTTTCTTAAACTTGGCACTACTGACTTTGTAGACCAGATAATGCTTTTTCATGACAACAATCTTGAGCATTTTAATATACTTAGTGGTACCCCTGTCTTCCTACCACTCAAAGCTAGTTTCAACAAAATATCTCAAAAACATTATCAGATAACTTCTGGGAAGCATAATCACCCCAAGTTAGGAATCATTGCACTACATGAAATGTGGACTTAAGCAGCAAAACAAAAGACCCAATTTAAGACATGATCTGTGTTAAGGAAAAGCAACAGAAATAAAGAGTGAGAAGGTCATCTCTAGAAAACAAGATCCGTTATTGTTTTCTGGGGCAGCTACACATGACACTGTGTGGACAACTAGGTAGATACTGATACCACACACAGAAACTGAAAATATGATAAGAGCAAAAGGTTGAACAAGGCTCAAAATGCCTGCAGAACACACAAAGGGGTCTTGAAAAATTCATGGAAATGGTATGAAGGAACTATGCACGCATTTCCAAAAAAATTTTACACCCAAAAAACTATCTTTGAATGCTATTTTTCTGATAGTTTTTGGAGGTACTCTTGCACAGATACACTTATCTGTCCACTTTCGGTCACATGATTTTGGAACAAAGGGAGGTATAAAATGAAAATAAGGATCTAAGAAACAGTAGTCATTAAGATGGTAACTGAATTCATCAGAGAGAAGGAGCTGGCTCAGAAAGGGTACAGAAACTGAAGAGAGAAAAGGATCAAATACTGAATTCAAGAGAATAGCAATACTAACAGATAAGCCAAAGAAGAATAGGACATGAAAGCTCAGAAAACATTTCTAAGAGAAAGAGAAACCAGAGGGGCCAGTGCTGTGGCGCAGTAGGTTAATCTTCTGTCTGTGGCGCTGGCATCCCATATGGGCGCTGGTTCTAGTCCCAGCTGCTTCTCTTCTGATTCAGCTCTCTGCTATGGCCTGGGAAAGCGGTAGAGGATAGCCCAGGCGCTTGGGCCCCTTCACTTGGTAGGAGACCCAGAGTTCCCAACAGTTCCAGCTGTTGCAGCCATTTGGGGAGTAAACCAGCAGATGGAAGACCTTTCTCTTTGCTTCTCCCTCTCACTATCTTTAACTCTACTTCTCAAATAAATAAATAAAATCTAAAAAAAAAAAAAAAAAAGAGAGAAACCAGAGAGATTAGCTTACGAGAAGAGAGAACTGCAAGCAAAATGCTTCTTTTGGTTCTGGATAATAGACTGAGCACACACACTGTATCTCCTGCCTCCAAAAATGCACTTAGGTTTAAAAAAAAAAAAAAAGACACAACATACTATAAATGTATGACAAAAGAGGAAGTGAGGGAAACATCCCACAAGGCTGGAAAATTTGAACAAATTCTGGAGTTGCAGGTTAAGGCAGTATTATATAAGAACAACTGGGGAATACTGTCGAGCAGGAATCTTGTATCAGAAGCCGGAGTTGGGAATTGAAACAAGACACTCCAGGGTGGGAGGTGGGTGTCTTAATGAGCATCTTAACTGCTAGGGCAAACACATGACCCAGAAAAGGAGTTTTTGATGTTGCAAAAGCAGTAATAATTTTGAGATCCTAAGAAAATATTACGAAGTTCATAAAAACACATTTAAGAATAAAAATATTTTTCTACAAAAATACGAACAAATAATATAATGAAAAATATAATTCAATGTAGGCTTATGGTAATTAAGTTGGTTAGCAAATTGATTAGAGGGGCCAGCACCGTGGCTCACTTGGTTAATCCTCCACCTGCAGTGCTGGTATTCCGTATGGATGCCGGATTCTGTCCCGGTTGCTCCTCTTCCGGTCCAGCTCTCTGCCGTGGCCCAGGAGGGCAGTGGAGGATGGCCCAAGTGCTTGGACCCTGCACCTGCATGGGAGACCAGGAAGAAGCACCTGGCTCCTGGCTTTGGATCGGTGCAGCGCCGGCCGTAGTGGCCATTTGGGTAGTGAACCAACGGAAGGAAGACCTTTCTGTCTCTCTCTCTCTCAGTCTATAACTCTACCTGTCAAATAAAAAAAAAAGTAAATTGATTAAAATCAAAATTGTCACATAAAAATTCTCAGAAGGCCCAAGTTTATAAGCATCACATAATTTACATATAACACAATTTTCTAATTTTTGTAAATTTAGAAAAGAGGAGAAAAAAAGTACCCCCTTTCCTTTTATGAGATTGTAACCATCATATATGATATCATAGTTGGACAGGAAAATGGGTATAGCCTAGTCTAACTTGTGAATACAGAAATAAGAATCCTAAGTAAAGGATAAGCAAACATCCTAGGGAAATATGTAAGAAGCAATTTACTACACTTATTAGCAACTGAGGTCTACATGGGGATTCAACATTAAAAAATCATTTACCTTATCCAGAATAGTTACAGATTAAAGGAAATAGCCATAGCTCTATTCTGATGGATAAACAAAAGTTAGTCAATATAATTCAATGCACATTCATGGCTAACTTGAAATCTTAGTGACCTGGTAACTTTAGGGAACCTGTTTACCTGGACAAAGGTTATCTACCAAGCGCTAAGAGCACGAATCAGAGTTCATGGGAAAGCTGTGACTATCTTCCTTCTAGGGAGTCAGGAAAACTTGACCTGGTCCATTTCCCCTTTCACATGTAATGCACGAGTCCTTCTAAACCTCATAAATCCATTACAACACAAAGTGAGGGATAAGTAGAGCTCACCTGAGATGTGTTCATCATCTGTGGCTTTTGGGACGCTGCAGAGAACCGTGAAGGCTCAGCTGGGGACAAAGAAAGAGGACGGGGTTATGAGATCTGCCTGCCTCACTGCTCCCTGATAAAACACTCTGAATCTCAGCAACCGGCTGGGAGAGGCCTCTAGGGAGGCCCCTTTTTGGCCTTGGAAAGACATTAAACGATCAGGTGCAAGGTGGCATCACCTGTCCCTGTGCCAGCCTGAAATGATCCTGGGGGTTAAACTTGCTGCTTATTTTATTGAAATATAAACTTTTCTCAACTGATTTAACAAAAATGCTCATGTTCTTCTAACACAGAGAAATAAAGACCTCAGGAGATTAGTTGAATTAAAATTCACCAAAGGATAAGACGCTATTCTTTGATTAAAGTTGGCTTGGCAGAAAAATACTCTGTGTGTGTCACCTATTCATTTTTCTTGGTAATAATGTTTGTCCCCTGGTACAGACAATTCACAGAAAGCCTAGTACAGATCAGCTACAACTGGATATATTTCTCAAAAGTCGCTTTTTCTCAGTTTTCTAATATCATATTTTATTTGAAAGGAAGAGAGGGGGAGGGAAGGAGTAAGGGAGGTGGGGGGGGGAGAGAGAGAGAGAGAGAGAGAGAGAGAGAGAGAGGTCTTCCATTCCCTGGCTTATTCCCCAAAAGCCTGCAATAGCAGGGGCTGGGCTAGGCTGAAGCCAGGAGCCTGGAATTGAATCTAGGTTTCCCACATGGGTGGTGGGGGCACAGGTACTTGAACCACAATCATTTACCATTATCATTATCCTCAGGCAGCCACTCTGCCTCTCAGAGTGTGTATCTGCAAGAAGCTGGAATCAGAGGCGAAGCCGGGACTTGAACCCTCGGACTCCAATATGGGATTGCAGGTATCCCAAACAGCGTCTTAACCACTACACCAAACGCTTCCCTCCAAAGGCCCTCCTTCAAAGGTGCTCTTGGAGACTCACCTACGAGAGGATGAACCACGGCGTCTTCCTCCTGGTTCTGTCACAAACCAAGCATCCCTGGAAAGTCGCTGAACCCAAGTCACGCCCAAAGTCTTTGAAGCTTTCAAAGCAGCCCGAAGTAGATAACTTCGGAAAACCCTTTGGGAACCATCATTCTGGAATCCTGTGCAGCCGGGATCGTGTCGTTAGTGTCACACATGGTGACGGACGTGTGTGAGAGTAGCCCAGCGTCTGTGGAACGTGGAGAAGAACAAGGGAAAAGCTAAGACAGAATTTCCACCCTCTCCCTGACCAAGCTCCACAGTGAAGTGTCCTCTCCCGGGCAGCTGTGCCTGGCCTGGCCTGGCCAGCTCACTTTGCTCGTCTCAAAGATGGCCAGCCTCTCACTGCCACACGGTCTGGCGTGAGTTGCGGTTGTCCCCAGTCTGGCTCACTCTAGGCAGGAGCATCAGGAACTGCTTCTGACCACGCGAAACTAGGACCTGCTCTTTCCCGGGCTTTTCTGTGTCTGCTTTGCAGCTCTGGAGAGAGGCCTGAGCTCAGTGGGGTCCTGCTCCAGCGACCTCCTCATCACCCTCGGGATTACTTGATTTCAAAGAGCTCGTCCCTGGACCTGAGAATCAGGCTCCCTTTAAGGGCAAAGACCCGACTTTTGGAATTCGTTCTATCACACGTACAGACAGCCTGACGAGTGCAGAAGGGGGACCCACAGGCTGTGAGGGGACACCCGCGGGCCCATCTCCGTGCACTTCCCTTCGCATCCCTGCGTGGTGCCGTGAAGGCGGCATCGCTGGCACACCTGCCCTCGAGTCAGAGCTCCCTCTCGGCCAGCCTGTGGCCTCGGCACGTCACTCAGGGATCAAGAACCTGCGCTTCGCCCTTTGCTTCGCAGGTGATGACTTAAACCTCAGTTTCCAAACAGCGCCGCGGAGCAGGCTCATCCTCCGAGGAGAAAGCAGACTCTTGCCCAGGCTCCTCTCGGCGCTGCTCGCGGGTGACAGAGCTGGGACTTCACCCGAGTCCAGACCTCGGGGTCTCGCGGCAGACCCACCGCCCGCGCCTGCCGGCACGGTTATAAGTGGGCTTTTCCCTCCTGCCTCAGGGGCCGGGCTCACGGGCCTCGCACACCCACGTCCGCCCGGAGCTCAGCCCCACCTGCGCGCTCCACGGGACTGCGGCGCTCGGTCCCTAAACACCGGCCTCTGCCGGCCCCGACTCCCCCCGCCCCAGCGAAGGGTCCGGGGGCGAGAAGGGAACCGCAGCAATTTCCCGCTTCCCCTCCAGGGCGCGAGAGCGTTCCTCCCGCCCGGTCCCCAGCGCTGTCACCCCAGGTGCACCCCCTCTACTTTCCGACCTGACCCCGAGGTTGTCAAACCGCTTCCCGGGATCCCAGGACGCCAGCGGGGAGGCGGGGCAGCAGCTGCACATGCGCAGAAAACGTCCGGAGCCCCCTTCCCAGAGTGCAGCGCGGTTTACCCCACCGCTTCAAGACTACATTTCCCGTCAGCCTCTGCGACCACTCTTGCGGCGAGTCCAGCCATTTCCATGCCCGAGGACGAAGTACTTTTTTTTTTTTTTTTTTTTTTTTTTTTTTTTTAGCTAATGGTCTTTTTATTGGGGGGAAAAAATAGAGACTGGCATTTACAATTTTTGGAATGGACGTAAATTGTAGTTTCACTATTTTTTATTTCACTTATTTGAAAGGCAGAGTTTCAGAGGTTCCGTCCGGCGGTTCACTCCCAGCGGGGAGCCGGATGGGAAGTGGAGCAGCGGGAGCTCAAACCTGCGTCCACAAGGGATGGCGGCGCAGCTGGCGGAGGCCTGACCAGCTCGGGCCCAGGATGGTGTAGTGTTAGGCGGCCATGCTGATGGTCGTGCAGGAGTTCGGGAGTTCACGGCCGCAGCCCATTCTGCCGGCGCCAAAGTCATGCTCCAGAAAGGTTTCAAAAGCAGCCCAAAGACTTGGGTGGTGAAGGCTTCTTGTTAGGACTGTGTGTGATGGAGGCAGCCGTCGCGCTCTGGCGCACGTGGGCCCGAGCGCCGGGACCACCCTGCTGGGGGCCTGGCCCCGAGGTGAGCCCTGCGCAGTGCGTTTTGCAGACCACCAGCTAGGACAGTTCACCCTAACAAACTGAACTATGACCCGTCGGAGTGAGTGTCGAATTTCTTTTTCATTTGTTTGGTTTTAATACAGACGCCCGAGTGCTCAGATCTTCAAGCTGCATACCTGACAGGTCAGCCCACGCAGCGTGTTACTAACCAGCAAATGGAACCCGAGGGAGTCCACTAAGTGCGTCCTTGTCATTGAGGTAATCGAGTATTTATAGTGCATTCGGCCGTGTAGCTTGATCTTCCGGGCACAGGACTGCCACCCAAAACATGCGGATTGTGTGTGTGTGTGTGTGTGTGTGGAGAGAGGTACTTCTGAAATTCACTTTTTTTTTTTTAAGGTTTATTCATTTATTTGAAAGTCAGAGTTCCACAGAGAGAGAAGGAGAGGCAGAGAGAGAAGTTCACTCCCCAACTGGCTGCAAAGGCCGGAGCTGTGCTGATCTGAAGCCAGGAGCCAGGAGCTTCTCCCAGGTCTCTCACGCGAGTGCAGGGGCCCAAGGACGTGGGCCATCTTCTACTGCTTTCCCAGGCCATAGCAGAGAGCGGTATTGGAAGTGGAGTAGCCGGGACTCGAACCGGCGCCAATATGGGATGCCAGTGCTTCAGGCCAGGGCGTTAACCCGCTGCGCCACAGCCCCGGCCCGAAATTCACTTTTGCTATATAGAAAGAGAATGAATGAGGTTGTTTTTTTTTTTTTTTCCCCGACTCAAGAGAAAGATTCGGTTTGATTCTTTTAGAGGGGCAAGGGAGTTGAAAGCAGGTGTTCATTTTGTAGTCACTGTCTGCACGGGCTCATGGTTGACGCGTCCCTCTCCGTCCACATCTGCGTCTCTGACCATTGTAGTGTCTGCTGCGCCGATACAACCGCTTCCATTCCTGTCCTAGACTCGGGAATGCGTCTCCTCTTTGCTAGTTTTCGTCTTTCTGGCCATCCTAGTCAAGAATTCTGGGAGGTCACTGGTGCCGCTTCGGCGATCCTAGCCTGCAGTTCAGCTTCTGTTGGGTTCTGACCCCGTGACCTCACGACAGCTCCAAGTTCCTCTGTTGTGATGGTGTCACGACCATCTTTAATCGACTAGGGCGAAAGCGTCCTTGGAATCAGCCATCTGTTCTTCGCTCCATCCACTGGCCGCGGTGTGAGCCAAGGGAGGACCATCAAGGGGCGAGAAGGGGCTGTGACGGTGGCGGAGGTCCCGCCGCTGCTAAGGCGTGGAGTGCGTGGGCTGTGGTGCGCTGATGGCGCGCCTTGTGCTGTGCTGCGCCGCGCCACGGGCTGCGGTTGGGCCGTGCGCGCTCTGGTGCGCTGTGGTTCTCTGTGCGCGCTGTGGGTGTGCCCTGGGCTGTGCTGCGCCGCGCCGCGCGCTGTGGTTCTCTGTGCGCGCTGTGGGTGCGCCCTGGGCTGTGCTGTGCTGCGCCGCGCCGCGCGCTGTGGTTCTCTGTGCGCGCCGTGGGTGTGCCCTGGGCTGTGCTGCGCCGCGCCGCGCTGCGCACTGTGGTTCTCTGCGCGGGCTATGGGTGTGCTCTGGGCTGTGCTGCGCCGCGCCGCGCGCTGTGGTTGGGCCGTGCATGCTGTGGGTGCGCCTTGTGCTGGGCTGTGTTGTGTGCTGGGGTGCGCCCTGCGCTGTGGATGCGTTGTGTGGTGGGGTGCGCTGTGAGCGTGGGTGCGCCGCACGCTGGGGTGCAACATGACCATGCGCTGTGGGCGCTGTCTGTGCTGTATTGTGACCGCCACCGCCGCGGCGGGACCCAGGGTGAAGTTCTCAAAAGTGTGATAGACAAGACTCTGCAGGAGTCGCAGCAAGTTAAGAGTTAAATTTGAACTCCGCTGCCAGAATGCAGAGCGTGGCCCTCGAAATAACAGCATTTATACCGCAAGGCTTTTGGAGACAATTGGGTAGACTGAATATATATATATTGGGTGTTGAAAAGGAAAATTTCCGTTATTTTTGTGAAGTGCAAAAGAACCCTTGGAGTTATGTAGGAAAATTGATTTTTTAAAAAAGTCACGGTTACTGAAGGTTTTAGGACTGAAATGATAGAACCTTCAATTTACTTTATAAATTTATGTGTTTTCAACCTATCCCTTTGTAGCCACTTGATCCACTGACTGGAGAGCCAGGTGCCTGGTGTCCCCCAAAGCCAGGGATGGGTTCCTAAGGAGGGTCATGGCTGCAGGTGTGCGCCTATAGAGTTGCTGTTTTTATGGTGACATTGCTTCTTGCTGAATTCTCTTATTTTTTAAAATTTATTTTTTATTTATTTGAAAGAGTTACATCGAGAGGTAGAGACAGAGAGAAAGGTCTTCCATCCACTGGTTCACTCCCCAGATGGCCTCAGCGGCTGGAGCTGTGCCAATCCGAAGCCAGGAGCCAGGAATTTCTTCCGGGTCTCCCACATACGTGCAGGGGCCCAAGGACTTGGGCCATCTTCTACTGCTACCCCAGGCCATAGCAGAGAGCTGGATTGGAAGTGGAGCAGCCAGAGCTAGAACCAGTGCCCATATGGGACGCTGGTGCTTCAGGCTGGGGTTTTAACCTGCTGCGCCACAGTGCCGGCCCCCCTCTTATTGTTTTAACACATTTTAATGTTAATTATCTTTGATGTCCCTGCTCATAATGATACTCTTTGCTTACTTTTTGCTTCTGTTTATGATTCTTTTTAGTTCTTTAATGAGTTACAAATAAAAGGACAAAATGCTGATTGAACTATATTAAATTAGTCATAATAGACTTTAGCAGAAAATCACTAATGGGAAGTAGTCAGTAGGTGTGTTATTTCCTGAAACGTTTGTGGAAAACCCGCTGTGAATAGACATCTTTCTAGATGCTGGGATAGTAAAATGAAAATCTCCTCTAGGAGATAATTTTCCCTACATCCATGACCCCAGCTGTAATGCAGACAAGAGACTACAGGATGGCTGGCACTGTGGCTCACTTAGTTAATTCTCCGCCTGTGGCGCCAGCATCCCATAT